GGTGAGGGGGGGTGCCAGGCGGGGTGCCAGGCGGGGCTGCAGGGCTGCGAGGCTGGGGGAGTGAGCTGGGGCCTGATCTCCACAGGCCACCCTGAGGGACCCTACCTGTGCATGAATTCGCACACAGGGCCCAAATTGTCCACTGGGAGTTTGACCAGGAGTTCGACCAGGGGGGCAGGGCTGGCTGGCCAACTGCCCATAGCCCCTCCTCCTGGCCTGCCCCACCCCGGCCAGCGTTGGCGGCAGGCGCTGGGGGAAGGGAGGCCCAGGCCGGCAGCCACTAGGGACCCTACCCATGTACGAATTTCATGCACTGGGCCTCTAGTATTTAATAATGTGAAACTTAGCCTAAGGTCAAGGAGCTTTCCAAGAATCACAGAGCCTGGAGTTTGGAGCCAGGCAGCCTGTCCCAGGCCCTGTGATCTTTCCCTTACACCACACTGCAGCCAGCCTGCCTGCCCACACAGGCTGGGTGGGACACTGAGGTCCCCGAATTGGGTCTGAGAGATGCTTTTGTGCTGGTGGCTCTTTCTGACCTGGTCCTATGAAGAAGTAGGTCTGTGACACCTAAGCTGTTCAGATTAAACCAGGCACCCAGCTCAGCACCCTGGGGAATGCCAGGTCAGCCACTGTTGGCTGGTCCCATAGGCAAATCCAGCCTGCAGCTGTGCGCTGACCCTTGCCTGACACCTGCCTTACTCTTTCCTTAGAAAGGACTTTTCTTGGAAAAGGGCCTCAGAAAAGCCAATAAAAAGTCAGTAGGGAAGTTATCATTTAATGGGAACAGAATTTTCATTTGGGATGGCGAAAGAGTTCTGACGATGGATGGTGGACATGGTTGCACAATAATGTGAATGTACTTAATTATTAAAAAATAACTAAAACAGTAAATTTTATGTTGTAAATATTTGACCACAATTAAAACTCAAAAAGGAAAGAAAGAAAGAAAGAAAGAAAGAAAGAAAGAAAGAAAGAAAGAAAGGAAGAAAGAAAGAAGAAAAAAGAGCAATCTATAGCAGTAACTCTGAAGTGGAGGGATTAACATTTTACTGAGCTCCAGCTGAGAGATGGGCATGTGCTAGGAATCCATAGAGCTTTGTAAACCTTACAGGGACAACAGCGAGCAGGCACGATGAGTGATGTCATAGCAACATGGACGGAGACCAGAATTGAAGTGACTTTCTTAAGATTACATGGGAGTGGGAGGTCCATCGTTTGAACCCAGGTCTTTCTGAACTTATTTGGCCATAGGTGTCCAGGTCTAAAGGAAAGCTGGAAAAACTGGAGCAAAACAGTTTGGGGTTTGGGTCTTGCCCAGGGGGCTTTTTTAAATGGTACAAAAGTACTGGGAAGGTTCATTTTGTTGCTTTTGTGTCTCTTCCTGGGGTCCTCACCCTTCTTGAATGGAGGAGCAGTCATTGCCGGCAGCACATGGCCCCTCAGGGAAAGGGGGACCCAGTGGAAATCTCCACTTGCTGGCTTTGGTGCCCAGATAAGGGTCTGGAGATTCCGTTTTGTTGTGGCTGCCCCCAGAATGGTCGTTCCTGAGCTGCCTGAGTGACAGCCGGATGTGCTGCTGGGTGCGGTCCCATTCGGACAGTCCATATCCACTGCACACCCGTGGTGCTTCAGGCCAAGATAAGCAAGCTCCTCGCTAGTCTCCCCCTCCACTCCCCCGCCCAGCAAGCTCAGGCCCCGAGCTGCCTCGCCTGCCTGCAGCTTTCACTGGAGCCGGGCCATACTCCTGCCAGCATTCTCATTCTGACGTTGTCTTTTCCTTTCCCCCTTATCTTTGCCCTTCTTGATTTCAAACTTGAATAGAAAACTTTTTGTTCCTGCAAGTGGAAACTCCCTCGTCCTCTCCCATTCGTCGTCAGCCTTCCTGTCGTGTTTCCTCAGGCTCGAGGCATGTCCTGGCATTCGGGGTTTTTCCACCCAGCAGCCCTCTGTGGAGACTGTGGCCTGGCCTCTATAAGGAGCCACACTGGTATCCTCCCATCCCCTCAGCTACCTGTGCCAACCTCTGGGCTACCCAGACAGTATCGTCGTCCTCAAGCTTTTAAACGTAGACTGTGCCTGGTTGCACCTGGTTCATCCATCATGAGCTGACTTTATTTCCTTTATTTTGTGTGAAGTAGGCACACAAATAAAATGATCTACTATTTTAGGCAGCACCAGACTTGGGGGGGTCGGGGAGGAGGAGATGTAAATTAACACTGAAAATGAAATTATGTGGCGAGCTTAAAGCAGTGTCTTTGTTTTTGATTTCTTAATTTTATTCTTAAAAGTTTATTTTTATCTTATTTTTAAAACTTTAAAGCTTTATTTTTCAGCAGGTCAACCAGCAAGGAAGAATGAGAGTCTTGTTTCTCAGATTTCTATTATGTTCTTTCTTGGGCACAGAGTTCATGCGGGTCCTTGTGCTTAAAAAAACAAACAAACCAAAAGCAAAAAAAAAAAAAAAATCATGTTTAATAAAAGTCATACAATTTATACTGTAAATCTAGAATATTTTAAAGAAAAAGATTAAAAGTCAGATAATCCTTTCATGTAGACATAATTTGTTAGCATGTGGGTGTGTGTTTTCATATATACATATACTCGTGTTGTCTTTCTTTAAAAACAAAGTGGAGATCTTACTATTTCCTTTTGTCTCCCCCATATTATACTGGAAGCATTTGGGCGTTTTCCCATGCCATTCAATGAAGCTTAAAAGCATCCCTTGGAGAGGCCCTGGGTTGATTCCCTTCGGGGGAATGCACTCACAGTGTTGCATGGTTGTAAATAACATCCTTGTAGTCAAATCCTGTGACCTCATCTGTGATTATCTCCTTGGGAGAGGATCCTAGAAGTAGTCTTATTGGATGAAAGGATGTACAAATTTTTGCATTTCTTCCATGTGCATACATTGTTTCCTAAGACAACTTGTACTAAAATAGACATTCCTCCAGCAGAGAAAGAGTGTCTGTTTTCTCTTTAGCATTTTGTGTTCATAATCGTTGGTAATTTGTGAAGTGAAAAGTGGTACTTCACTGGTCTCATAATGTAAAATCAATTATTAGAAAGGTTCAGTTCTTTCACTGTGTGTGTTGGCCAATTTTATTTCTTTCATTCGTTTGTTCACATCCTTTGGCAGCTAGTCGGCGAGGTGTTAGCATTCTTCTTGTACATTTGGAAGAGCTCCTGTGGCAGGAACCCTTTGTCACAATTACAGGCATTTTCTGCACCAGCTTATTTGCCTCTTAGCTTTGTTGATTGTATGTATGAGTTTGTGTGTTTAGGTGTGAACAAGCTTTTTATTTTCAGATAGACAGATCTATGTTTATGTGTGTTGTTTTGTTTTTGTTAATACTGGCCTGAGGATATTTTTTCCATTGACTTTTAGAGTTGGGAAGGAAGGAAGGCAAGGAGGGAGGGAGGGAGAGAGAGAAACATTGATATGAGAAGGCAAGGAGGGAGGGAGGAAGAGAGAGAAACATTGATATGAGAGACACATTGATTGGTTGCCTCCAGTACATGCCCTGACCAGGGGCGGGGATGGAACCTGTAACCCAGGTACATGCCCTTGACTGGGAATCGAACCCTCAACCCTTTGGTGTGCAGGCTGACGCTCTAACCATTGAGCTCACTAGCCAGGGCAGATCCATGTTTATGTTTTTTCTCTCTCTTTTATGCTTATTATACGTATTCAAGGTTTTCTTCTAAGTTTGGGGGGATAAAACTTTTAGTTTGACTGTAATCCACCTGAAGCTTATTTTGGTGAAAAGTATAAGTAATAATCTGTATTTGTTCTCAAAAGATGCCTTTCCCAGCTCAGTCTCTTAAAATATGATTCCTCTCCTCGCTGACCCGTAACACAATTCTCATATGTTGGAGCCCTCTTTCTGGACCATCTATCATTTTTGATTGTCAGATGCTGCTTGGATTAAAGCAGCTTTGAGCCCTCCTTATCGCCCTTTTCCAAGATAATTTCATACAAAGTTAAGAGTCACTTTGCGTTGGTCAAAAAAGAAAAATTCCCCCGGGGAATCAATTCAATGAAAGACAGTGGGACTTCAATTAAAAAAAAATGAGTGGCGTGAGTAAGGATCCATTTCCCAAAATAAGACTTTGTGCCGTTGTGAAAATTCAGTCAGGCATCGCACCACGTCTGTGCACCAGCTGAAGAATCCACAGGACAGTAAGCTGTCAGAAAGGGCTCCCAGGCTCCCGCAGTGAGAGAACTGGTGCTATTTCCAGTCCAGAGGCAGCCTCTGGTTTTCAGATGCTGCCATGTCCTGGCTTACATATCTTTTATTAGGGTCACAGCTTCGTGTTCTGAAAACAGAGCCGGTTCCAGTGCTGTTGGTCCACGGGGGCTCCTCTGCCCTTTCCTTTCTGGGTGGGAACCTCTCACCCGAGGGCGGGTACACGGGTGTCTTCCCAGCTGTGAGATGACCAGCATTTTCCTGATCCTGGCCCCTGGGGCTCCACAAAGGTTCTTCAGGGGTTTTACAATCTGTGACGCATTTTATGCCCAACTATCAAGATTTGAATCAACTGAGTGTTGCAGAGCTCATTTTATGTATTTGTTCTCTGTAGGATTTTGTTTTGCCCGTTGCTGAAATGTTTGCAAAGTACTGACCTAGATAGTCTAAGGCAGGGGTCCTCAAACTACGGCCCGCGGGCCACATGCAAATACAAATATTGTATTTGTTCCCGTTTTGTTTTTTTACTTCAAAATAAGATATGTGCAGTGTGCATAGGAATTTGTTCATAGTTTTCTCTATGTAGTCTCCGGGTGTCAAATTGTGTGCCTCTATAGGATCCAATGTTTTCTCTCCTCACCCCCACAGCCCCCTTTTCTTTTTCTTTTTCTTTTTCTTTTTTTTTTTTGTTTTCCTGGCTGCCTGGTGGCTTGGGACATGCTCATGATTGTGTCCAGGTGTGAGTTCCTCCCTCATTCATCTTTGTGCCACCAGGAGCAGTTCATGACGTGAGCTGTGTTCTTTCTGTCTCAGGCGGGGAACGTGGTGACAGGGGAGATGGTGGAAGAGCTGATTCTCTCCGGAGCAGATATAATCAAAGTGGGAGTTGGACCAGGTAAGACTTGCCGGGAGAACAGCAGAGGGTGTGTGATGGGGAGGAATGGGGTCTGGGGCTTACAGGGGCTGGAGATGGCCAGAAGGGAGCCCACGAGTGACCCACCCTCAAGTTTAAAGTACATTTGTTTTGGATCTCATTGAGCTTCCACAGAAGCTCCTCATTAGAAATGTCATTGAGTTGCCATCTGATGCCCCTGGGTAACTTGTCAAGGAGTGTGGGTGTGGTTAGGATGTGAGGTCCAGGTTTTAGAGTGTAACTGTGGAAGAGAAAAATGCAGATTTCGTTCATGACCACATATACTGTGAAGAGGAAGATGAGGGGTGAAGAATCCCTGGGACAGTTCATGGACATGAATAACTCAGGTTTCCGTGAGTGTTTGAGGGACCCCAAACACTGCAAATAGCATGCGGCTGTGAGGCCATATTGAACCTGACCCAGGTAGTTGTCACTTTGGCTTCTCACTTGGTACATATCCATATCAGATTTGCCCAATTCTTCTTGGCAAAACCGCTCCTAAAACCGCTCATTGGTGTCTTGAGTGGGGGAACAAGGTGGAGCCTTTCTATTCTTATACTGGTGGCTCCACTTTCTCTCGGGGCCAGTTGGCGTTCGCTGTCCCCTCTGGCCATACCTGAGCTGAGCTTCCGTGTTTTTAAATTCTTCCTTCATATTCATTATTAACCAGACACTAAAATGGGAACCAAGGAAAGAAGATACACATTTTCAGTTGGGAATAAAACCAGCAAAGACTGAAAAAAAATTAGTGCCTACCCAGCCTGGCTGGTGTGGCTCAGTGGTTGAGCATCGACCCATGAACCAAGACTTCATTGGTTCGATGCCTGATTGTGGGCTCGATCCCCACCCAGCAGGGGGCATGCAGGAGGCAGCCAATAATGTTTCTCTCTCATCGATGTTTCCGTCTCTCTATCCCACTCCCTTCCTCTCTCTCTAAAAATAAATAAAAACATAGTTTTAAAAAATATTGCCTACCCAAAAAAAACATTACCAAAAAAGGAAGCAAATCATAAGCTAACAGGAGAAGGGTGTGGGCAAGCGCTGCTGGGAGGGGAGAAGACGTCTTTGGGCTGTGATCACACACTTGTCTGGGTGTGGGCAAGCGCTGCTGGGAGAAGACGTCTTTGGGCTGTGATCACACACTTGTCAACCTTGAGGGAAAAGGAGAGCCACGAGGGACTGTGATGGAAGAAGAGCCCTATAGGCCCATCCAGGCCCCTGAGCCTTTAACACACGGGAGAGTGTCAAGATTGGGCTTTTTCTATTGCCACTCACCTAAGCCAATTTGTAACACACTCTGAGCCAGCGGTTGCCAACCTTCCGGACCTCATGGACCACCAGTGGTCCGCAGACCACCTGTTGGTGACCGCCGCTCTGAGCAACAGGAAAGACAACTCTGGTCTTTACTGAGTGTCTGTCGTTGTTGAAAGTCAAAAAAAGGATAAGGCCCAGCTCTTGCTTACAAGGAGCTCCCGCTTAGGATGGGCTGCAATAGACCAGGCTTGTAATAGAATAGAACAGGCTGGACATAGACCTGGAGGACTCTTGCTCCTAAGGCAGGGGAGCGCACCAGCTACCTGTTTAATCAGAAACACGTGTTGAGTGTCCTGTGGCTGCCGTTGTGGCTGCCGTTGTGCGGGTGGGTGCTGTGTGGCACGTGGGGGTGCACAGCATTCTTGGCTCACAAGGAGCTGTTCTTGATGTGATCTCGAGCACTCAGCTGTGCGTGGTGTCTTCATGCGCGTCCTCTGGGTGTTTCCCTGAAGACTGATTGTCCTCCCGCTAGCACCGTGTGACCCCCTGGCTGTCTGTCTGGAACAGATGTGACTGAGCAGGATCAGTGGCTCCCTTTGAGCCTGACGTATTGGAGCTGCTTCTTTAATTTAATTGGAGATTATATTGACATTTCACAAATTCTTTCGAGTGAAAACACTGAGTAATGTGTATGTAAATGACAGCACTAAACAAGGTCCGTTAATGAGTAACTCCCAGGAGCTGGGAGAAAGCATTGAAATTGGGCGCCCCTGCTGCTAGGACTGGGAGAAATATGGGCCCAGTTTTTCGCTTTAACCTGGGGGCTCATCGGGTCCACACCCACCTTAGTCCTGAGAGGAGCCCGCCTGCCCCGGGAGAGGACTTCTCTGGGCCGTGGATCCAGAGCGGACCCCGGGGCTGAACTCACAGAGTCTGGGCAGGTGCCATCCTCAGAGTAGACTCGGAAACTAGAAATGAAGAGAGCAAAGCAGATCTTTCAAAAACATGTTACAGTTAGGACAGGACTGGGAGAAATATGGGCCCAGTTTGTCGCTTTAACCTGGGGCTCATCAGGTCCTCGCCCACCTTAGTCCTGAGAGGAGCCCGCCTGCCCCCGGAGAGGACTTCTCAGGGCCATGGATCCAGAGCGGACCCCGGGGCTGGACTCACAGAGTCTGGGCAGGTGCCATCCTCAGAGTAGACTCGGAAACTAGAAATGAAGAGAGCAAAGCAGATCTTTCAAAAACATGTTACAGTTAGGAGGTTTTTACTGCTCTGATTGGGTAGAAGACTGTTTGAGGTTTCCTAGGAGCTACATGGAAATGCCTACCATCAAAAAGTACAACTTTAACCTTAACTAAATTTAAATAATTTCATATTAAAGATTTTAATATTTAGAAAAAGACCTCTCCCCTGCCCTCTCCTCACCTGTGCAGAGCTCCGGGCCTCTGCACCGAGGCCCCTGCTTCCCTTGAGGATCTAGCAGTTGAGGGGGAAGAGGGCTAAAGCCACTTCCGACCCAGAGCCGGAGGTGATGAAGCTGTGCCTCTGCCTCACACAGCGCACGCACGGGTTGGCTCCAGGATTGTGAGTGCACATGGAAGGGATGGATGTAAAGAGGTGGGTCTCAGCCTGCAGCGGGATAGATGCAGGAGAAGGTGATCTCCTATCCTGTTTTCTTGGGGAAGCGAGGCCTGGGAGAATGGGCATGGTTCTCTGTCTGACCCTGTTCCTAAGGACGCCTGGGAGACATTTGTGGGACGCTGTGAAGCCGCTGGTGGGGTGGGAGCGGGAGAGGAGGCTGGGGCTCTGAGCACCTCATCCCCAGCGCTGGCGGGCAGAGGAGGGGTTCAGGGCACTCCGTTGTTGACACCACGGGACCTCCAGCAGGAACTGGCTGAGTGTGAAGCAGTGGTGCCAGGGATGTGGGTGACTGATCCATTCTTGAACTCTCAGATGCTTTCGGTGACTATTTGTAGCGCCGTAGGTCCGGGCTCTATTCTCAGTGCTCTACAGGAGTGAGCATCCAGCAGCCTACCACCCAGCAGAGAACACTGGTCCTTGGTTCTGACACAAATAATTGTTTAAGTGACTCTTTTTTTTAAATGAATGCAGTGAGAACAACTTCCCTGAGGCAGTGACATTTAAGATGAAGCCTGGAAGATGAGAAAGGGTTGGCAAGACAGGGAGGGGGAGGAGGGGCATGCAGAGGGGAGTGTTTGGATAGGGAACATCATGTACAGGGACTCCCTAGGTGGGAAGAAACTGGCTGTACAGGAGGAACTGGAAGGTCAGAGTGGCTGGAGTGTGGGCAGCGGGAGGGGAGGTGTCTGGGGTTTGATTGCATGTCTTGGAGCAGGGTGCACACTTGCTGGGAGGAAGGGTGGGTCTGCAGCAAGCAGGCATTTGTGGGAACCTCTGGCGTGTCTTGGCTGGGATCTAACTGGGATAACGGGATGGGCGACCAGGACTGGCCTTGGCCGTGGGAAAGACAGAGGTCAAGAGGACGAAGGCATTTAGGTGGCTTGTGTGGGTCCTGAGTGGAGGCTGACCTCAGAGCCCAGCTGGATGCGGATTCGGACAGGGTTGGAGGTGGACTATGAGATCATGGAGAGCAGCAGGCTGGGCATATTGAGGACAGACTTGGGTGAGAGTGAGGGTGAGGGGGCAGGCATAGGGTTAGTGCCAAGTCCTGGGCCAAATGATTTTATTCCCTATGCCATTTAAATTTCTACCCTGTGAGGCCAATGTTTTAATTTCCATGCCACAGGCGAGGCCCTGAGGCCTGGAGAAGTTAGTAATTTGACAAAAGAGGAAGGTACAGAGGCTGGAGGCTGTGGGAGAAATCTAGGAGGTCCTTGAAATGTAGTGTGTTTGTGTGGGAGAGGGAAGGACAGTGGGAAGGGATGGGAGTTTAAGTGTGGAGAGTCAGTGCTCGGCCAGTAAGGGGAGCTGCTGTCGTAGGGGAGAGTGACGGTGGCAGGTTATGGGGTGGGTTATGTTTTGGATGTGAGCAGGTGACAGCTCTGAGGACCCGAAGGGCTGCACGGCCACATAGTGTGCTTTTAACCACCTCTGTCGAGTTGCTGGGCAGTCCCTCCCTCGCGCCTCTCCTCTGCCATGTGACAGTGAGGGAGGCTCATGTTGTGTCCCATTCTGCTCATCCATGAACCATCTCTCTCCTCCATCCAGGTTCCGTGTGCACCACCCGCACCAAGACGGGGGTGGGGTACCCCCAGCTGAGTGCCGTGATTGAGTGCGCAGACTCTGCCCATGGCCTGAAGGGGCACATCATCTCTGTAAGTCTCCAAGCGGGGCTGGGGGGCAGGTTGGGGCGGGGGGGGGGCATC